TCAGACTGAAGAAGTCTCTTGGAGGAGAGACGAAACGTTTCATTAGAGAAGAACCCGTCCAGAAGACCTATACAATTTTTTTCTTTTTGATTATTATTATTATTATTATTAGTAGTAGTAGTAGTAGTAGTAGTAGTTAGTAGTAGTAGTAGTAGTAGTAGTAGTAGTAGTAGTAGTAGTAGCAGTTTTATTTATATTTTTTGTTTTCTTTTAGTCCAGGGGTCCACATGAGCATTATGGTGGCTCTCATAAGGCCCATTGTAATTTAGACTTCAACGTTTTGTGTTTAACTTCAGCTAAACATAAAACATCACGGTCCTCGTCTCATTGCTTCGGCTGAGCAACAAACAAGTATGCTGTCTTTTTAAGTTTATAAACTTACCAAAAATAAGTACACTTTAAGCACATGGCATTAAGTATACTGAAGTATATAAAAGTGTATTTCCCTAAGTGGACTTTTATATACCATGTACACTGATATACTGTAGCTAAGTATACTAGCAGTTTACTAACAAATACACTTATAGGACTAAGTTGGCCCACAATAAGTTTAATAAAGTATGCGCAAAAGTATACTGAAAGTAATTATCTAAATATACTTTTAGTTTAATCTTGAAATATACTACAAATTAACCAGTCTGTGTGAAAATGTACTTTCAGTGTACTACTAAAGTTTATCTTGGCCAAAATTTAAACATTAATATGGACTAAGGATACTTTTAGTATACTTTTAGTTCAAGCCAAGTATAGTGTAAGATAAACTTGGTTGAGTATATCTCAGATAAGTACATAAAAAGTAAACTGGAAGTACACTCTTTCATTTTTAATTTAAAATTAGCACACTTAAAGGATACTTGCGTATACTACGTTTTGCTAAGGGAATCTAGTTTGTGTTTCTGTCTGCCTGTATGATGAAAATTCTTCAGTCTTTTAGTCCATCTTCTCTGATTTTCATCACATCGGCCATGATAAATCTTGTTGAACTGAAGCAGTTTTGTTTTGATGTGAGGAAAACATAATAAACGTGAAAATTGGTATTAATTCACATTAAACAATACAAAGCAAACAGGAAGAGATTTTAACCTTAACTTTCAAAATAAAACTCACAGATATTCTTCAATAAGTTCTAAAGTTGTGTTGGGCTTTTTAGAAGAAAGCTATAGGATGATGGAAGTTCAAACAGAAGCAACATTTCTCCAGAAAATTTCTCTGTTTTTAATGCAGTCCTGTTCAATTGATTTTGAAGGTTATTTGTTATGAATGATGAAGGAAAGAAATACGTCTGTTTTAATAAAACATTGAACAATAAAGAATAATTATTTTCTTTGTCTTTTCCTAAAAACCCAGTACCTTTAGAGCCCTACATACGTTACAGCTTGACTCTGCACACACGGCCGTACAAGGACACGTGCAACATAAAGCACATCAACAACAGTGAGAGCACCTATGGGACCACGCAGTTCTACTTCAAACAGGGATGTAAGTTAAAGTCTGCCTTCCTTTACAGCCCAGATGTTTCCAAGTAAAGCAAACAAATCCTGGTGTGGTTATTATTATTATTATTATTATTATTTGTGCATTACCACAGCTCCTGTTAGCGCTCCCACAAACATCAGCTTCTCCAACAAGACACTGACCTCGGTGGTGCTGCGGTGGTCATCGGTCCCGGAGGAAGATGTCAGAGGGTTCCTGCTGGGTTACATTATCCACTGGACCGAGCATCACCACCTGGGCACAGAAAACAGTAAGCAGCATCTACATAAACCAAATCAGTTTCAACTGGAAAACCCAGACAAAATCACCCACTGCCTTTCATGCATGAGTTTTAGCCTAAGATTATCTTAAAGGGCCAATATTATGTGTTTCTCAGGCATATATTTAAATACTATACCATAATAAAGTATCTATGTCACCTTTAGCTGTTATTAAAACACTGTTTTTATGTTTAAATAGAAAATAAACTTATCTTCTCATC